GTGTGTGTGTGTGTGTGTGTGTGTGTGTGTGTGTGTGTGTGTGTGTGTGTGTGTGTCCTGCAGACTGTGTAGGAAGGGCAAGAATAAAGGAAAAAAAACTACAAAACATTCCTCCCACCAACACACACACTTCAGCCCATTCACACGGGCAGTGTGTGCCTTCTTTAATGTAAAAAAAGACACAGTTAAAATAGTTTACCAAAACAAACTACAGCACGCAACGTATATGCGAGAAAGATGACAGTTTAACAGAATCCAGCTTGATTTTCAAACAGAAACTGTCCTACGAGGAGCGCATGGCTCGTAGGCTGCTGGGTCCAGACAACGCCAACTACACGGTGGACCAGGACAGTCTCTCAGACTCCCAACCCGACCAGGTACGACAACAGCCGTCTTCTCTTAGCGAGTGGACTTCATGATTACAGCGCGTTGTCCTGATGTGTGTTGCAGTGCTGACTGTGCTGCACAGACATTTGTGTTGGCTCTGGTCCAAAGCCCATTAGCGTTCACTTAGCTGTTAAGTAAAGACCACACATTATTACACTCACTTGGGTTTGAATGGCTGCACAGGGAGCCCGTCTCCCTCTCAGGGCCTCCTGATGGGTCTCTGGTCATTTTGAGTGTGTGTGTGTGTGTGTGTGTGTGTGTGTGTGTGCGTGTGCGTGTGCGCGCGCGCGCGCAGGATTGTTCGAAAAGCCTGTGTCGCTCACAGGGCTTTGCACGATCTATTCTCTCTCTTGCACACACAACACGTGCATGTACACACAACACAACACACACACACACACACACACAGATTTGTCAGCTGCTATTTCTTGCCTGCTTTCTGAGGAGACCCTTTCACTGGTGACAACAGGACTATTGTGTCAGAACGCGCACACACACACACACACACACACACACACACATTGTGCCAGACTAGCATGGGTTGCTTTTCAAAGTTCAACCCTCTGATTACCTCTGCTTATACGAGTGTGTTTTCTGTTGCAGCCAGATTCACCAGAAGGAAGGCACACAGGTGGACTCTGGTAAATAAATATAACTTCTGTATAAATGTTGCTCATAACATTTTGCTCCAATCCAGCAGTATGTATTCACTCCATCCATCTTTAAACAAAGAAGTGCATTATAATCTACGTTAGTCATTTGTGCAGCTCATGAGTATTTGACGCTTGTGAGTGTGCTGTTGCTCTGTACAGTCATGTATGATGGAAACAGGCATTTCATGTTTTACTTTTAAAACTGTATTCTTACCTCATCTCCACATTGTGATGTGCTATGAATATTACTAGTTGTCTCTCAGGAGGGAGAGACGGCTCTCACACACAAGCAACCTGTTCCGTCACTGGTTGTCATAGAGAGTGAGGTCAGGTTGGTTAAATATTCTCCCTCTCTCTGCAGGGGGAGGCGCCACACAGGGACAGATGAGAGGGGAAACGAGGGCTCAGCTATCCAGGAGAAATGTTACGCTCCTCGCTTCATGCAGGTCCCTGCAGACCTCACTGTAGAGGAGGGACGATTCTGTAGGATTGACTTCAAGGTGAACACTCACGCCTGTATCATAACAAGCTCATATTAGCACAACTCATACCTGAAAGAACCAATGCAATTATGGTGCGGTCGTGTTCTCAATCCAGGTCAAAGGCCTCCCCACACCAGACGTGTGCTGGTACCTAGACGGTAAAGCCATCCGTCCAGACGACTTCCATAAGATGTTGGTGTGTGAAAAAGGGATGCACTCGTTCCTCATAGAGATCGTCACAGTGCACCACGCCGGCGTCTATGAGTGTGTGGCCAGGAACCGAGCAGGGGAGAGCAAGTTTACCATGAGGCTCAATGTGTTAGGTAAAAAATGTCACTGCAGTACACCCTCTATTCAGGCTGGAACTGCTGTCTTTCTTTAATAGAATTTCATCATCAAAGTATAGCTTAGTAATGATCGGATTGATTTACTAATCTATGCCAGCTGAGCTTTGAGAGACTTGAACCCCTGTGCTGTGCGTCCTCCTCCCTGCAGCCCAGGAGGCTCTCCGTCCTCCCATCTTCATCCAGAAGATGTCCAACTCCAGAGCTCTAGAGGGGGACACGGTGCGGTTAGAGTGCAAAGTGGATGCTTCCCCTCCCCCACAGCTCTTCTGGAAGAAAGATAAAGACATGTTGCGCATCGATCCCAACAGAATGAGGTACTTGAAAAACCTGCGCACTACCTGCCCAGCACCAACTGACAGACAGTCTGCTGCTAGCTGGTGAACCATAGTGGAGCAGATAAAGAGACAGAGTGGATATTAGACCAGCATTCATCAGATCAGAACTCCAAATGAACATTGCTCCATGTGTGCTGCATGTGTAAATAAGCAACTGTTCCAATATCTACATAAAAAGATGATGTTAGTATTCACAACTTGTTTATGCTGCCTCCCGGTGGCCAAAAACGTACAGCAGGTTTTAATGAGACCTGAAGAAATGAAAAAGAATCCCTATTTAAAGGGTGCCTTTGTATTAAAGGGCAATGTGCACAGTGAGCTCATGTTATTGAGGATGAAGAGTCTGATTCCTGATGGCAGGTCACAGCTATACTTTTAATAGAGACATAGAACATAGTTTATACAGTCTCTAGTTCCTACTGCACAATCATCTCACATGGGAAACTATATGTAATCTAAATCATTTCTCATATTATTGTTTTTGTTAATTGTGCTTTTGTTGTCTCAGCCCACATTAAACACCTCGTACTACTGACTCTTTGTGTGTCCACAGTCTGTATCAGGACGGGTCAGGCCACCAGTGCTTGCTGCTGGAGAGGCTGATGAAGTCCGATGCCGGTTGGTACACTCTATCCGCCATCAATGAGGCCGGCATGTCCACATGCAACGCCAGGCTGGATGTGGGCAGTAAGTAAAGCGTGTGTGTTATCTGGTTACCATGGTAGTGCAGGCAGTAGAATCAGACAGCATATGGAGGACGCTCCATGCTCCAGTGAATCCAGCTTGCAACGTGCCAAACACATGTTGTGTTATGTGATCGAGCGGAAACCTGACGAACGCACGGAGCTCTCCTCAAGAATACTGCAGCACTCACTGAGTCCGAGCATCCACTGATGAGAGAGCTCACTGGAGGAAAGTACACCGCAGATATCAGGTGTCTGCTCGATCACATGACACGCCAGCTGCTGTGTGAGAGGACACACAAACTACCTGAGCTGGACTCTGCCCCTCAGCAAGCAGACCACCACATCTAAACTAGGACGTCATCCAGGACCATTTACAGAGTTACTCCGCATCACTAGTACCCACAGTGCAACACTGCAAACATCACTAAGCACTTGTAGTTGGTGTAATAACTTCCCTCAAGCACCTGCAGAGTCAGCAGCAAGTGTACAAGGTAGTACAGTTGGTAGTACGACATTTATAACTCTGACGCATGACTCTCTGTGTGGAGAGCTGTGGAGCTCTACTGTGTGCTGGTTCCATATGTGTCTGTCCCGGCTGTGGGGAGCGGGGCAGAAAAGCTATTTTCAGACACCTGGCATGAATGGAATGATGAGCCAGTTTTCCACCAGTAGGAGCGGTCGCTGCCGAGGGTGACACCAGTGGTGTTATTCCTTATTATTAATATAAATATAATATAAAAGTATTTTTCACCCCATGGTGGAGCATTACAGCTTCACTCTCCAGTATGTTATGTACTTATAGTATCAGAAAACCAGTTGTATATTGTTTATTACAGATAAGTAATCTCCTAGATATAAAACTTTTGATTTGCACCTCAAGTTTTCAGTTGGTTCTAAATGTAAAATAATATTAGGCATTGTGTTTAAATGACATTACAAACAGGTCATACTGGAATCAAATGATAATATTGTTGGTAATAATAACTGCACAGTTATCTTTTCATGTTTCAAAGTGTTTGCTGTCAGAGATGTGTCCATGTGTCATTGATGCCCCCCCCCTTCTCTGCCCCTGCAGCTCGCACACCCATGAAGACTGCGCCCCCCGGCTCCAAGACATTGAAGCTGCTGTCCTCTCTGAGCCACGTGCCCGCCCTGACCGCGGAGAGCCCCGCCCAGCACACCGCCCCTCTGTATGAGAGCGAGGAGCTGTAGACCCCACCTCAACCCAGTCACATCCTCAGATAGCGGCGGCACATCTCACAAGTGTAGAGCTGTATTTGCTGTCATCTGGAGGGCAGGTTTGGTACTAATCATGCTTTGGTTCGTTCAGCAGACCAGGACGCAGAACACTTGTGAGGCCAAAGGTCAAGTTCACTGTGGGTCTGTTATTGTACTATAAACACTACAGTTGTATTTAAGATTAAGGTACATTAAAGGGAAACCCTTCAACATCTACTACGATATGGTATTTGTTCTTTTTTTTTTTTTTGTTATAAAAGGTTTGAATTTGCTCAAAAGAACCCGTTAGATGTTTACGTGTTGAGGAAACAACCCTCGCCATGAGGAGCATGTGTCTCCACACTCACGCTGCCCATCTGCTGCTGTTTGTCTCCGCTGTGCTTGTCTGTGTGTTAACGATTGCAGATCTGATGTCTGGTCCATGCCTATATGCCTGTCTGTGCTGCTCTCAGCTAAAGCCTCATTCATGGATTTATTCATAGACCTGGATACGGTGGGGCACAGTCAGACTAACTACAGGACTGCAACGCAAAAACCCTCTGATTTCCCCTCAGATCACTGACGACAGCACACAGGGTCATTCAGTACTAGAACAACAGGAAGCAACCTGAGAGTACAGTACCAACTAGTGATGAGCGGGTCGAACCACTACCCGCGGGTCGGGCAGGTTTCGGGCTAAACTTGTCACGGGTCAAAGAGTGACAAAGCAGCGTCAAATTATTAAAAACTCAAAACCCCTTGCTCAGACCTGACGATTGTGCTACTATGATGCATACATTTGGCGGTTTGCGGGTCGGGTGGTTGATTCACGCACTTTTCTGCAGATTGACTCTCGTAACATGTCGGGTGGGCACACCCGCGCATCACTAGTACCCACAGTGCAACACTGCAAACATGTTGCGCTGCACTTTAACCCTAACGACGGTCTCCTCCAGCCCCCCCGCTCCTCTGTCGATGAGTTGGTGCTCCTGTCCCTGAGTGACAGCTGCTGCTGCTTCTGAGGATGTCTGTAGAGCTCCGCTAACTGAATAGAGCTCGGATGTCACTCGCTGCTCCGATCCTCTGCTGTGGAATGAATTCAGTCTGTGTGTTTTTATGGTTGCTTTCTAATATACAGCGTACGTGAATGAGCTGAAGCTATTAGTTATCGGTGCCCTTCTCTTGGCCTGTGAAAAGGGTGCAACCAGCGGTGTCACATCAGTGAGTGACGCAGCAACAAGCCCAGCCTCTAAAGACTGAACACAACTTCCATTTGAGCACACCTGCAGTGTTTTTACACTTTACACATTGTTTTCTCCTTCAATGCATTGATTGTGTGTTCAATTGACCTGCGGACAGATTTGCCAAACTCTCCATTTGTGACCAGAGCCTTACATAAAAAACAGATGCTGTACATGCAGAGATGATGTGGTATTTAACCAAAGTCAGCGTGCTCATTGACAGGAATCCCCCTTAAGATGAGGCTAAAATATGTACTTTCACTCAGAACCAAAGGTTCATGGTGTTTGGATCAAACATGGTAACGTTTTGGAGAGTTAGGCCCTTTCTGTTGAGCTTTTAAAAAGTGTGTGTGTGTGTTTTCTCTCTCAGTATTGTTTGTGTAAGTTCTACATATCACTGGATGAATGAGGAATAAAGTCATGTGACCCTGGCTTTGCCGCCTGTTCTTTTGTACTTTTTCTTTTCCCTGAAAGATGAAGCAGGTCCCAGATCAGTACTCGGATGCTTGATATGGTACTACAGCTGTTCTGTAACATCTCTCTTCCAGCAGTGAAATGACTTTTAAAGCTCACGTGACTAGAGGAATGCACAGAGCTGCTAATGAATGTAGAAGCAGAAGCTTGTTTACCTCTGTCCATCTTTCTCTCTCCAAAGTGTGTTAGCACAGTTTAACCTGACAGTCTTAGTCCTTTACCGATTTAGTTCATTTTGGAGCCACTACGTAAAATAGTCCGATATGCAGCGTGAGCTTTTGGATAACACAACCTGGACCTGTAACGTTAGCTCAGCATTTGTACTCTTCTCGCTCTAAGCCACTCGGTGCTGAAACTTTACTATGAATTTTCTTATTCATTTAAATTTATTTTTACTTGAATGACTTTTCAACATACTATGCTATAACATCTTTTGACAAACTATACTACAAATTTTATTATTTGTTGACATGACTTGTCATGAAACTGACTCTTTTCAACCTATTATACGACTTTCTTTGACATTGTTCAATATATATTTTTAAGGATGTCCTATACTACACACGTTCTGACTTTGTAATATGATTTCATGATTAGTTACATTTGACTTTGGACAAATTATACTATGACTTTGATTACTAAATGTAATGACATTTTATGACTTATTTTTTACATACAGTTCTATGATTTGACAGACTAAGACTTGTAATTTGCGACATTTGTTCTCCCCATACTGTACTCTGACTGTTCCATGACTTGTTGGCATACTGTTACTTCAACATACTATACTAGGACGTTTCAGACCATACATGACTTGTTTGACATACGGTGCAATGACTTGATGTCGTAAACGACTTGATGTCGTAAACTATGTTTTACATATACTACACATACTGACTTTTCTGTGTGTTTCTTTTGGGATCAAGCCCACAATGAGCCTGTGAGGGTCTGGGTGGGACCAAAAGCTGGACCAATCAGTCCAAGTAGTCATAAATAAAACACAAATCACCATAAAAACTAATCTACAAAATTATGTGGTTTTAACGCAGAAATTAAAATGTCATGACAATAACCACAAAATGAAACATTTATAGAAAGTACCACCACCTTCATCCTTTCTTTTCAAATCTCATTTAATTAAAATGAGGAACCAATCAAACAGTAACACACATTAAAAAAACATGCATAAAACAAACGACAGAAATGAAAACAAGACAAACGAGTCTACTAATACTACTTATAAAAGCATGCATAAATCAACTAACTACATATAAGATTAAACATCTCTTTTTAGATATAACATCATTGACAAAACAAACAGTACTGTATATTATCTGATCAGCTCGTCAGTGGGCGAGCTCATTGTTGTACAGCCTCTGCAGGACCTGCTGGGCTGCAGCCCGCCAAGCTTCTTCCAGCGTGGCGGTGGCAGTGGGTCCCGGCAAGATCATGACCAGCCCTTTGAAGGCCGTGGTTATCCCGGGGATGCACACCGTATAGGTGAAGTAGAGGAATCCATCAGGCACCGCGTGGCTGTAGTACATCTCATAGAGTGGCTGGCCAACGCCAGTCGCCTCACACAGCTTATGCAAGAGCGCCGTGGACACGAGGTGCCCCTGTGAGGAAGAGGGGGAGGATCTGGGAGGGGGAGGGTGCTGGGGGACAGTGGGTCCTCCCACTGCCCGGCAGAAACACAGGGGGGCAGATGGAGGGTGGACCATGCGAGGGGGCGGGGCCGAGGTCAGTGGCGAGCTCGGGATGTGGCACGGCGGCTTCAGGGCTGACGGCAGGAGGCTCTTTGACGGTTTGTGTGGAGACAGTTGCTCGTCCAAGCTCGGCTTCACTGTGGACTGCCAATTGATTGAGATGTTCAATGCAAACTGCTTCTTGAATGCTGGACACAAGAAGAAGACAAGTACGTTAGTAAGGCCCACAGCTGATTTCTAATGAAGCTAAGAATGACATCATTTTTCCCAAAGCAAATTTAACACAAAAGGCTGTTTTCTCAGCAACCAGAAACAGATCATTAGTATCCTAGTATTCTTTTCTGATTGTGTAACTTACATATAGATGCCATAAACATCATAGGAAATAAAGTGCATTAAGTAAAGTAGTCTGTCACTATGGCTTTTATGTCCCATTCCTCCAGGTTTACTTTTCAGTAGCTCCGCAATGTTACTGCCTGTACGGCTCTCGAGCATTGACCGTGTCTGCAAAACACGTGAAACTAGTTCCCACTCCTCAAAGATGTGGTGTGACATGACCGTAACATGTGACTCAGTGGCTCTAGACGTCTGTCCATCACGTCAGGGCTACTCTCTCTGCAGGGGGGAGCCATGTTTTGACACGTGTCGTCACCTCTTCGTGAAGCCTGGGCACTACACTGCTACAGCCATCATGTGTCGGCAGGAAGGATTCGTCATCACAGGACTGTATACTCTACACCAGAGGTAGCCAACACGGTGCCCGCGGGCACCTGGTTGCCCGCAGGGACCATGTGAGTCGTCTGCAAGGCATGTTCTAAAAATAGCACTAGGTCCCCATGGAGCTCCGTCTAAAAATTGTAGTTTCTGTTCTTTTTGAATTAAAAACACTTGCATTCAAGCATGTAGATTTTAAAAGCAAGAGGCCGCCGCACCGCACTAGGTTTTCAGGTTCCGAATGGCGTGCGCTTCCCGTTGGCACCGGATGCGCCGCGATCGCACACTGTCGTCAGGTCCATCAGTCCTCGGGGCAACAACTCGTGGGTGGCGGGGGTAGAGGCGAGGCAACGCAGTACGATCGAAAAGGCCCAGACTAGAGATTTGAACGCAGGCGACCAAAGACGCTCGCGTGCCTCGGAGGGTTGGATCCCCCCTCGGCTATAGACGAGACTTTTTACTAGTTTCTTCGTGGAGAAAAAGGTACCCCAAAAAAAAGCTGGTGACTACAGACTACAGGCCAGCATGCAGGCTTCATTGCGCAATGCAAAGTTGACCCAGATTTCCCAAAATGTGGTGATTAGTACTAATGTAATAGATTTCATTTAAACATGTTTAAGAGTTGATTTTTTTTTATTCTACATAACTGATAATTTGTATAAACATGGGACAGAGTTCATGATTTGTTCAAAAATGTTACGAAGGTAGTGGTTAGTACAAACGAGTCATGATGTGAAGAAAAATGATTAGAAATTATCATTTTTACAAAAATATAACAGGTGTGATTTTGAACAAAATACACAATCATTGTTAATAATTATTGTGAGGAATAATTAACATTGACATGTGATCAGTCTCTTCACATATATTATTTTTGTTAAAAGGTGATCTGTGCAACATTGTTATTCATGAAGTTTGTATCAAACAAGTAGCCCTTCTTACTGCTCAGTACCCTTGAAGTAGCTCTCTGTTTCAAAAAGGTTGGTGACCCCTGCTCTACAGTATACGGATGCTTGCGTGTTGTGATTTTGGTCAGATCATGTGACAGGCCTGGAGGTCACTGGCCTTAGCTTAGAAGGAAACAGGTTTTCTTTTTCGATGTTTGGTACTTACAACTCAATGTCAAAAATCACAGCAGCTACTTTAATTGAACAGAAACAAGACATTTAACACTCAGTCTGTTGCGTTTTCTTTGGTTAATAAAGTGTCTGACGATAATAGAGCACAAAAGCTTAAAGCCCTGAGCCCTTCTGAAGCAACAGGTGATGATAACAATCCCACCAACATGTATGAGCTGCCGTCAGTGATGCAGAGTGACGTCACTCTGCATAACCCAGAACAGTTATTCATTAGACAAGGCAAGTTCACACTGGCGAGAGTGAAGCCTCTCTACAAAGAGGGGAGCACATTAGAACCTATCCCCAGCCTGTGTTCACTATCGAAGGTCATAGAGTCATACATGAACAAACTGATATTTATCGTCACACAAGATACTGTATGAATTTCAATCTGGTTTCAGAAAATCTCATTTTACCCAACAGATCACATGAGTAAAGAAGGCGTTTGATACTGTAAACCAGGACATTGTGTTGATGAAGCTCATGATACTCTCAGCATCTAGCTGTGTGTTTACGAGACGAGGAGGGGAATTGGAGATACGCTGGAGAGGAGGGAAACTATTATTGAGCTACTCATTTATGTATATGGACTTATTTTATAATAAAAGATTCATTCCTCTCATCTGAATTTAGAGCTTTCTCCATTTAATCCTGGAGACAGTGCATCCTGGTAATGTAGAGCTGCAAACGGCACAACTAGGTTCAGTGGAGCACTTTCAGAAAGTCCAATCTCCTGAGCTTTCTGCATTCAAGTCAAGTCTCACATGGCCAGAGCTACAAAGATACATCAGTGACAAATAGCAACAAAAAAAACTCCCACAAAAATAGTACCAAGTGTGGAGTAGATTGGACTAGCTGTACTAATTGTCACAATTCCACCGATTGACTTATTGCATCTGCATTGACTACACACTGATCCCATGTATCTCCATCAACATACCTTCCACCAGCAACTTCTTGGCCATAGAAGCAGCATGGTGGGATGTGAAGGCCACTATAGCAGACACTCCGTCTATACCAGGCCCAGCCTTCAGGGACAGTCTCTCCACCCCCTCGGCCAGCACACGCAGCACCTGGGAGCAAACGTCAGAGACAAAGACATGAACTCAAACACAACACCTGTTCACACAGCACGAACCACGTCCAATACTCTGCAGACCTTTGTGGGTTAAAGGATACCAGTTCAACACAAGGAGCCAGTGGAGTGATCAGAGCTGGTGTGAATGTGTGCACATGCATGTAACCAGTGCAGGACAGGACAGACTGAAGGATGTCCATGTTTGTGTTTTACACAGTACAGACTACTGCTAAAAACTTAGAATAAAGTACTTTGCACTTTAGTATCCTATTAAATGAATTGTCCTTTAACTTAAAGGGATAGTTTGTATTTTTTAAAGCATGGTACTTGAGCATGAGGTATATTCATAGTCGGGGCATCACTTATGTTACAGGACAGTTGGCACGTCCCCAGTTTGGAGAAAGAGACGGGAGCAAAACAATGTTTATATGTACTCTATATTTAGAAAATACAGAGCAAATATAGCCTACACTTAAAGGAATCTGGACTTGAAGGTGAGCCTTTTTACGTATTGCTGCCCCCCCTTCCACAGCAGTACATGGCTTTGCTCCTGTCCCAACTGGGGCGGGCCGACCGCCATCTACAGTAGGTACAGTAGGTAACACATCGACTGTGGATAGGTAACTCATACAAGCCCACAAAAACACTGCGTACTACCCTTTAAAACCTGACCTCATCTTAACACCAGGTGCTGCTCGTTTGTCTTCTAATATGGATACATAGATGGATAACAGTCACACACAAGTAAGTTACTCAGAGGCTCGCTTGGAGGTGGTGACAGGACTTCAGCTTTTTATGGCAGTGGTAGATGATCTTTGTTGTTTTGATGGCAGTGAATTCAAAATAATTTTCTTCTACGTCAGCTAAAAAAAAAAAAAAAAAAAAAAAACATATTTCGATGTCAAAAGAGGAGTCCCAGAGGTGTTGTACCTTCAGCAGGTCCTCCTGCCTGGTGCTGGCTGGCAGGTCTTCGATGCAGAGGTGTCTCTTCTCGGTGCTGCGGCGGACGCTGAGGTGGGAGCCGGGCTCCAGCATGTGACCGTTCAGCAGGCGGATGGCTTCGTTAGCCGCAGCTGGCGAGCCGTATTTGCCGTAGGCGAAGCCGCGATTCTGGCCGCTGAAGTTCATCATGAGCCGGAACTCCCAGAGGGGCCCCACGGAGCTGAACAGAGGGATCAGCAGGTCCTCGTAGGTGTCCCGAGGGATCTGGCTGATGAAGACCTCACAGCGGGCTTCTGGGGGGGGCCCATCCCACACTGACAGCACAACGGAGAGGGGAGGGGAGTTGGTGATGTTACCTGATTATTTGATACATTAACACGTTTCATCATGAATGAAAAATCGAAGAATCAATGACCGGCAAAGAACTCCATCACAGGATACGGCTGGAGTCATCGGTATCAAACATTTGATCCTTTTTTAAAGGAGCCTGGGCTACATTCTCATGAACCAGTTTCAATTAGTAAGACGTGAGACTTAACATGTCGTTGGTACAACTCGTGTTGATAAGTGGGTGTGTTCTGAGGACTGACTTTAGTCAGTTTGTCTCTTTCAGTTACAACAAACAGAGTGTAATTTAAACTCAAGTCAAGCAGGAACCATTAAGGCAAATAGCTAATGAAATCAATGATTGAGGTGCTGTCAGAGGGTTGCTTCTTTTAGTCATTAATTAATAACTAAGGTGAAATAAAAATGAGCAGTGTTGGAAGAAGTATTCAGATATCTTACTTGAGTAAAGTAGGCCTAGTAATACGACAGTGTAAAAATACTCTGAGTGTCCATTATGGAGAATAGCCAAATTATTCATTAATTTTCATATATATACACATATACACACATACATACACACACATACATACACACACACACACACAAGAATCAGATATTATGTTATTCAATTATGGTTATTGTGTGTTCATCACTATAATGGTGCAGCTGGTGAAGGCGGGGCTTAAGCTATTACAATAGATTATATATTGATAGAAATAAACTGAAGTAAATAAAGTTTTAAAATATGTAATATCTAGGTTATTGTATTTCATATTTCTAAAAGGAGTAAATGTACTTATTACATAGTTATATCGCACCACAGATAATCAGCTTTATGCAGTTACAAATAACTATTGAAAGCTGGACTGCAAACTTCATTGAGCTTCCAGCAACTACTGTAAGTCTGAAAGACTCTAGAAGGAGGAGGAGTGTAGGTGGCTGCACCTGTAGGTAATGAATGGAAATCACAACCGTTGGAGTTTTCCTTTTGTATCAAGCAGCAAAGGTTGGAGCATGACGTAATGTAATCAATGTGCCGACACTGAACGTCCTGCGACGTCGATGTCTTAAATGTCACATGTTTGCATCTCAGTTTGTCGACAGTTAACGTAACGCCTCCCTCACCCTCGGGTGGTCCGCCGTACTTCCTCTGGCCGTTAACTTGAGTCAGCTTTGTATTGGTTGTTTTCAGCCAGGTCTCCAGCGCCTGCACCTGCTCAAGGTTCAGCATCTGGGGGGGAACAACTTTTCAGTAACAGCACCTTTCCAACAGGAAAGATAAATCCTCAAACAGGATCAGTGTATCTCTCTGTGCCCATTTAGTAAAACATCCAGTATATATATGTATATATGTATACGTATATATGTATATGTATATACATACACATATATATATATACACATATATATGTATATATATACGTATATATATACATATACGTATATATATACGTATATATATACATATACGT